AACCGCCAGCCTTCTGGTTAGCTGTCAAGTGCCTTAGCCACTATGCTACAAATTAGGACTTAGAGACTCTTAAACTGTGAGTTAAAGCCACCCACTTGTGGTATTTCTGTTCCAGTGGCACTAGATAACTAAGACACTAACATTTCATCCTTTTCAGAGGGAGACCTTTAGAGGTCTACGCTACTCATAAAACACATCCAAATAACTAAAACCTCTGGGCTCTGGGAATAGGCCCAGGACATCAAGAGCAGATAAAAATACTGGAAACCTCTCTAAGAACCAAAATACTGGAAACCTCTCTAAGAACCAATGCCAACTACACTGGTCTTGAATTAGTGATAAAACAATATGCCAGATCATCCCAGCCTCCCAGGGGGTTGATGAAAGAGCCTTTCCCAGAGCCTTCTGACAGTGCCTTCAAAATAATAAAAGACACAAAGTCTGGGATTCTGCAAAGTTCACTTAATTTAAATGTAGGAGATGGGTGAGATAACTGCCTTGAGAAAAATCCATTCTAGGCTCCCAGCAAATGCAGCTTAGAAAGTTATTTCAATGAGAGCACCCTCCCCCTTGCTCCAGGAAGCAGAGAATTATGTCCTATAGTAGAGCAGTTATGAAGAGGCCAGCATAGAGCCCTCGTCCAAGAATGCTTCATCTTCTTGTTTCCTCTTGACTCTGCCCAAGTATCAGCAGTGGGAATCAGCTCTAGTTTACCACCTCGTGAGAGTATCTCATGCTTATATTTCTTCTATTAAAGTATTGTTTGTTCTAGGAAAATACTTTTCTCGAGGTGGTTGGTATTGGGGTGGGGAAAGGAATCAGGCAACTGAGATAAATATTATTTTGGCTTTGGTGACCCTTGTTTGTGGAAAGGAGCAACACTAACTAATAAAGAATAAAAACAGGTGTGGTGCTGATACCAGACACTGTTTATATGTAGGCTCAGCAAATCATGGCCTCCAAAGAGTTATTTAAATGGACCCTATTTAGTCTTGCTAGGAGTCTCTGAGTGGTGCTTGGGTGGTAACCAAAAGGTTGGTGGTTCTGATCTACCCAGAAATGTCTTGGAAGAAAGTCCTCATGACCTGCTTCTGAAATGTCACAATCAATGAAAATCCTATGGTGTGCAGTTCTACTCTGACACACGTGGGGTTGCCATGGCTTACTCT